CTTATGATCTACAATTGAAAGAGGTGTATGGCTTGGGCTAAGGATGACTGCAGTGACGGTGAGGGTGGGCATAATCCATTCAGCAAATATGTATTGAGCACTACTATACGCCATCGCTGACCTAGGCACATGGGATCAAAACGGACCAAAAAAAAAAAATCCCTCCTCCATGGAGCTTAAATTCTAGAAGAGGAAATGGAAGGAAATGATACTCTCATCACCCTCCCTGTCTAAAGCATTTTCTTCTCACAAGTTCTTACTCATGAAGTACTTAGTCTCCACTAAGTCACCAGGCTCAATGAAAGATTCCCAAAACTTTATTTCCTCCAAGGTTTGCAGACAGATATCTACTCAAATTCTTACACTCAGGGAAATGGAGTCTGGTTGAGAAGTGGATGTCTCTGTGTATGTATGTTGGGGGTGGGGGCTGTGATAGTGTACAGAGAGCTTAAAATAACTATATTTATCGCACAGCTTCTATAGGTCAGAAATTCAGGCACAGCTTAGCAGGGTCCTCTGGCTCAGGCTCTTTCCGAGGCTGCAATCAAGATGTCAGCCAGGCTATAGTCATCACAAGGCTCATCTGGGGAAAGATTCTTTCCAAGTTCACTCTCCGGGTTGTTGGCAAGATTCAATTCCACGTGAGCTGTTGGCCTTGGTTCCTTACTGATTGTTGGCTGAAGCCGACCTCAGTTCCTCACCACATGGGCCTCTCTGTAGTGCAGCTCACAACATGGCAACTGATTTCCATCAGAGTGAGCGAGTGAGAAGAGCCAGAGAGAGAGGGAGAGCAAGATGGAAGTCACAATCTTTTGTAAGTGACATCCCATCACTTTTGCTGTAATCTACTTATTAGAAACAAGTCACTGGGTCCAGCCCACACTCAAAAGGAGGGGATTACACAGGGGCATGAATACTAGGAGACGGGGATCATTGGGAGCCCTTTTAGAAGCTTCCTACCACACCTCAACCTGAGTTTTGAATTATTTTTTGACATAGGACACAGAATGGCAGGCAGAAAATAACTGTGAGGGGATTCTACTCAGTACCTGGAAATTTAATTAAAAAGGTAGTGTCACATGGTGAGAAAAGCAGAGGCTCTAGGTTCAGAGAGGCCTCTGTCAGAATCCGAGCTGTGGCACTCACCAATTGTGTAATCTTACACTCGTATAACCTCAGACATAGTTTCTCCAAGCCTCAGTTTTCTCATCCAAAAAATGCAGAAAATACCTACCACCTAACGAGTTTTGAGGACCAAAAATCACTTGGGCAAGGCACTTGTTAAAATTCAGATTTCCAGGTGGCTCCCCTGAAATTCTTATTCAGTAAACTTGGGGTGGCACCTAAGAATTTCTATTAACAAGTGCCCAGGGGCCGACCCCATGGCTTAGCGGTTAAGTGCGCGCGCTCCGCTACTGGCAGCCTGGGTTCGGATCCCGGGTGCGCACCAACGCGCCGCTTCTCCGGCCATGCTGAGGCCACGTCCCACATACAGCAACTAGAAGGATGTGCAACTATGACATACAACTATCTCCTGGGGCTTTGGGGGGAAAAAAAAGGAGGAGGATTGGCAACAGATGTTAGCTCAGAGCCGGTCTTCCTCAGCAAAAAGAGGAGGATTAGCATGGATGTTAGCTCAGGGTTGATCTTCCTCACAAAATAAATAAATAAATAAATAAATAAGTGTCCAGGTGTTTCTAAGTGCATATGAAAAAGGTGTGTGGCTCAGTACGTGGTAGCTGTTAATAATTTGCATGAAAACAGTAATTCTGCAATTATTCTTGAACTACATGTTGGAAGAAAGTTCACTGTGGTATAGTGGAAAGCAAACTGTACTGAGCAATAGAAGATGTGTAAGTTCTATATCTTGTCTGACAATTACTTTGCTGGGGGATCCTAGGCGCAGAGCCACCAATCTTTCTGGACTTCTTTTTGTCAGCCTCTGTAAAATGCCTTCTAGCCTGAGTACTCTCAGTCTAGGTAAAGAAGAAACAAGAGCAGCTGGCACGGGATCCCTGTAGGGCTCCCCTGGTTGGAGAAACGAGTGTAATAGCCTCCATAATAAGTCTTTTCTGAAACTCCCCATCTCCTAATATTTCTTTCTGAAGTCTACGTCTTAGAGCCTCTCATTCCTCTACTCTTCCAATTCCTATGACCCTAGCATCTCTGTATGTAATGAAACATCTCTGAAAACAACCTTGTTTAAAAGAATAAATCTATGAAGGAGCTGAGAACTTTCTGGCATGAAATGAAAAATATTGATTGCTTCTCACCTGTTAGCAATGAAATCCCATCTAGTTAATTAACCTGCTCAGAGATAAGAGTTTATTTCTGCCCTTCACCTTCAGCTCCAAATCTTTAAAACCATTAAAACAAGTACCTGGTCAATGAATAAATCTTCCCCCAGAGTGGCATTCCAGGCCTTCTGTGATCTGGCTCCAGCCTACCTTTCTGACTTGACTTCCAGCTACTTACCTTCAAGCACCTTCCACTCCAATCAGATGGAAGAACTGAAGTATCCAATGTTCCCAGTGCCAGAAATAGGCTTCCCTCCTCTGAATTCTACATACATAGTTTAACTCAGTTCCAATGTCACCTTTTGAAAAAGTTTTTCTGTGGCTCTGGCATTTCTACCCCCGCCACGTCTCCTAATTGCCGGCAAACCGTAAGCATTACATCCCTATTCTAAACATTCTCCAAACTTTTTGTACCTTTGTAGCATTTATTATTTTGTACTTTATATTATGATTATGTACATATTTATAGTACTAGACCCTTGAGGATGCAATTCCAACCAATTCATTTTTGCATTCTCCACATCATCCAACACAATCCCTTGCCTGTGATCGGCATTTGGTAAATATTTTTTTAATGTTTAAATGGAGACCCATTGATTTAACATATTCTTTATTGTGGCTTTTACTCTTGGGGTTCACAACCACTGTTTTGTCGTTAGTGTAAGGAGAATCTAACTCAGGGAGGTGCTTTTTAGGATTTACATTATATTAAAAACAGGACTCTCAAGACTTTCAGTCTTTCTGGAGACCATCCTGTTGTTACTTCCCATCTTTAGCGGCTTTCTGTTTCCAGAAATCTTTGTGCTTTCGGTGGAAGCAGTCGGGAAAGACAGTCTTCTTATGGATGTTGCTCCTTTCTATGACTGTATATAGGCTTCATAAGGCTTTTCCATCTTCTGCCCCAATTTACTTACATGACACAATTTGAACTAGCATTTTATGAGCACAAAACACTGAAACTCAATTTTAAGTAAAGTGGATATTCAGTCATGTCTAAGAGCACTCACATGTTTGTGTCTAGGTTGAAGGGAGAAATATGGTAGCTTCACTGAAACCAAAAGGCCACTCATTCATTCAGTGTTCATTTTCTTGATCACCCACAAGACTTTAGGTGCTGTGTTGTGTGCTGATGATACAAATATAAATACTGGTCCCTGCCTTCAAGGAGCTCTGAGTCTTGTAAAGGGAGATCAATGTACAATGAGATCATTATTATAGATTGTGATTTGCACAATGTTAGAGGTAGACACAGGGTGATGTGGAGCACGGAGAATTTTCTTTGATAGCAGATGGATTTTTTTTAAACAAAGAAATTCTCTTTTGCAGCAAAGTGGTCATGGTGATATCAATAATATACGTATTATTTTGTAGTTATTAACAGCATCAGTGTCATCTTCAAATCACTCACCTTGGGCCAGTTCTCAGCAGCCACTCACCTTGGGCCATGTCAAACAAGAGCCACACTGTGTTAACCAAGACCTGGACTTAGGTCCTTGCTCCTTAGCGCTTGTAGGAATGAATCATTCAAGGAGATAGCAGCAAAGGGGTAGTTTTCTTATGATTCATAGGGCTGTACTTCATGCCAATGATATTTTGGTGCATATATTTTGCATGCTACTCTGTCTATGGCTCCAACATTTCTAAAGACTTTACCACAGCTGTGTATATGACTCATTGGGATAGCTTGTCCAAGTCTATGACCCTGGAGGTGCGTGTGTGTGTGTGTGTGTGTGTGTGAAAGAGAGAGAGAGAGACACACACACACACAGAGGAGATTATGAGGAAAAGTAAGAAAACAATGCTGCAAATACTGAGTATTTGTATGGACCACTTCAAGTTTTCTTCTTTTTCTTGCCCTTCACATTTGGGGACATTTTTCTGCTCACTAACAACTCCTTGAGAAGGATAGGGTAGCATGACATGAGTCAGAAGCAGAAATAAGAGAGGAAATTAAAATCCATTTCAAATTACCTCTTGTCAGTGGCTCAGAGAAAGGCTGGAGATATTGCTTGAGATGAAGCTGTAATATTGCTGTAGATTCTTATGATTCACAGTTGAAAGAGGTCTACGGCTTGGACTAATGATGACCCCGGTGACAGTGAGGGTAGGCATAATCCATTCAACAAATATGCATTGAGCACCTAGATATGCCATCGCTGACCTATGCACATGGGATCTAAACGGACCCCCCTCAAATCTCTGCCCTTCAGAGCTTAAATTCTAGAAGAAATTGGCAAAAATGGTGCCAGCATCTCCCTCCCTGTTAGAAGTATTTCCTTCTCATGAGTTCCTAGTCGTGAGGGACTTAGTCTCCAGCAAGTCCCGGTGTCAGTGAGAGAATCACAAAACTTTATCTCTTCCAAAGCTTACAGACTGATATCTGCTTAAAATGTTTATACGAGCAGGGAAATGGACTCTGGTTGAGATGTAGAAGCCTCTGTGCTTGTGCACTGAGGGGGGAGCTGATAACGTACAGTGGGAAGAAATTCTACAGCCGTACTATCCACACTGATACTTTCCAGCTGGGGGGAAATGCACGCGTTAGTACCTGCAGGCCCCCCTCCACCCCGCATGCCTTTCTCCCTCTTCCTCCACTTTGCTCCCTCCTCCCTTCCTTCCTAAATCCCTCCCTCTACTCCCTCCTTGCCTTTCCCCTAGTCCCTCCTATCCCCTTCCCTCGCACAGTTCTCTCCTCCTCTCGCTCCCTCTCCCTCTCGCCCCTTTGCCTCGCGACCCCTTTTCCTCCTCCGTCCCTCCGCGGCGTCTGCGTCAGGCCCTCACTCTCGTGACGCGCGGGGTCTGGGTGGGAGCTGTCCACTCGCCCGGGGTGCTGAATGCAGCAGCGACGGCGGAGACAGCTGAGAGCCTTCTCCGCTCCAAGAACCTTGTTTCCAGTCCTCGGACGGTCAACTCACCGCCCCTCTACCTCCCTTCCAGCACCACCCCTTTGGGAACTGAGCCAGGGGGGCAGCAGTCGCGGCGGCGGGTGCTGAGCAACCGCGGAAGACGAGACAGCACCTGGCAGCAGCCTGGAATCTGATTTGCTTCCTTTCGCCTTTTATAAGAGATATATTTATACACGGTTTTGGGGAGTCGCGAGGACCAAGCCGGAGCCAAGTGTTGGCTGCCTCCCACCTCGACCACACTGCTTCTTTCCCCCCTCCCCACCTTCAGCTGGCACAGCCAACAAGCCTTACCTCGTTGCTTCTGCGAGGAGAGGTAGCAACAGCGAGCCCAGCCAGCCAGAGGCGGCGGAGAGGAGGGAGGGGTGGGGGGTGGGGGCGCAGAGAGCCGGCAGAGGCTGCCCTTGGTGGGGGTAGCGGGGGCAGAGCTGCCGTGAAGACCCGGCAGCGGCCCTCCTCGGCCCCCACCCCTCCAGAAGCACTCTTTCCTGATTATTTGAGAACTGAGTTATTATTCTACTAGTATTATTTCATTTTTTATTACCGCCCTTCCTCACTCTCCAGCCGCCCCCACCCCTACGCCTGCCTCGCCTCTGGTTGCATGGCAGCGCTGCCCGGGCGCGGGGGCTCAGGGCTGGCCCCCCGGGAAGGAGGAGGAGGAGGAGGAGGATCATGAAGCCGGGAGTCGCGGCCGCGCCGGACGGCGAGCAGCAGCCGGAGGACGAGCCAGAGCAGCCCCCGCCCCGGAGACACCCGGACGACGACGAGCAGTCGCCGCCGCCGCCGCCACAGCAGCATCCTCGGCCGTGGGCAGATCCGGAGCAAGAGGAGGAGGGCGACAACAGCCCAGAGGAGGAACAGGAGGAGAAGGCGAGGCCACTCACCCCAGACCTGCCCTTCTCCTGGCCCTTGCCCCTCGCCCAAAGGGACCTTTGATGGAGCCAAGAGGAAGGGGCGGCCGATTTACAGACTGCCGCATGGGTGGGCTGGGGGCTGAGATCATGTAACTATTCTTTCCTCCTGTCCCCCCCACACGCCCCTCTTCTCTACTCCTGTTCTCTGCTCCACTGCCTCCCACCCCCCATGCACACACCCTTCCTCTAGCCAGGATCTTAATGCTCAGGAAGGAGGCGGCTCTGCAAGGGTTAAACCATCTTCTCTTTTTTTCCCCTTTCTTTCCCCCTCCCCAGTCCCGTATTTTCCCACCTTTATTCTCCTAATTGGCTTTTCCCTCTTCTGTGCAGCCCTTTGGCCACAGAGGCCAAGCACAAGCCTCTTGCCCAATTTCACCTGAATACCTTACTCCCACCCAACTGCTCTCTTCAAAGCAACTCTGGTGCTTCTGGGGGTTAATTGCCCCAGTTTTCTGCCCAGGAGAATTAAAATTTCTCCCAACCTCCTGTCTTCCCTCACTTACCACCCCCCAACCTGCTACCTGAGTGAAACTATCTTTTCTGTCTTGAACATGCTGTCCTCAATTGTTCACTGAGCTAGTTTGCCCTAAGCTTGGCTCAGCCCACTAAAAATTTGAAATATAATCTTCCTCACTCTTTTATGTAAAAGAAAGAGATTTTCCACTGCCTAGGAATTTGAGAAGAACCCAATAATCCTCTCCTGGGGAAGTTTCTAACAATTAGACCTTGATCTCAAGGCCCTAACAGCCCATCCTTAACATTTTTTCTCTCTCCCTGCCCCTACTGGTGCCCCCAGGTCAAAGGCAGAAAGGAGACACTCTGAGCAAAACCTAAGGTTGGGGTAGGAGTGGGGGGAGGGGTCAAGAAAAACTTTTTTTTATTGTTGTTGGACTTTCCAGGTAAGATTCAGAATCAGTGACTCACAGTTCTCAGTCCTGGGGGCAATTTATTTGCTACTTGGAGGGGATGTAAGAAGAACCAGTGAGAAAGCAGACTCCCCCCATAACACAGATACACTGTGGACTCCCCAAAACCATCCTATCTTCTTCTGCAAAGACTCCAGCTGCCCCTCCTGGGCTCTCTGCTTCCACTGGGCACATGCTGATGCCCCTGAGTGGGCTGCTCTGGTGGTGGTGGTGCTGCTGCTGCTGTGCCTGGTACCCCTGTGGATTGTGCGCCCCGGCTCCCCAGATGTTGCGCCACCAGGGTCTCCTCAAGTGCCGCTGCCGCATGCTCTTCAATGACCTGAAGGTTTTCCTACTGCGGCGGCCCCCTCCAGCGCCCCTGCCCATGCACGGGGACCCCCAGCCCCCCGGTTTGGCGGCCAACAATAACACCCTTCCGGCTCTGGGTGCCGGGGGGTGGACAGGCTGGAGGGGCCCTCAAGAAGGGCTGGGCAGGGAGACCCCTCCTCTGCCACCTCCACCACCTTTGCCACCTTCTGTGGAAGATGACTGGGGTGGCCCAGCCACAGAGCCACCTGCCTCGCTGCTCAGCAGTGCCTCCTCAGATGACTTCTGTAAGGGGAAGGCTGAGGATCGCTACTCACTGGGCAGCAGCCTGGACAGTGGCATGAGGACCCCGCTCTGCCGCATCTGTTTCCAGGGGCCAGAACAGGTGAGACCATTTTTCCCTTCTCCTACTTCCTTGTGGTATCTCCCCAGGTCTTGCAGATTGCTGCTCACTTGCTTGCCCTGGGGAACCATCATGCTGTCTCTAGTGTGAGGACTATAAGTTTTAAGGGCTCCTCAATGATGTTTCTTGTGGTTAAGTTTGCTGCGGTGGTGTCTGGTTCCTGGTGGAGCCTGCTTGGTGGCTCAGCTGTACTCAAACTTTTTGCATTTTCCTTCCAATGCTAGTGTCTTCAATTCCATCCAAAAATTCCACAATCATCCTCAGAATAGAAGATACAGAAGTTAGAAGTGATGAAATGAAAGAACTTGGTGGTGCATTCATGCTTGTTGCCAAGATATCTTTTTTCCGATTTGTTGTTAGTGACATTTTCCCCAGCCCATCTTCAGTCCCAGATTCAAACTTCTTCCGTCTTTGAAAGAGTGTGGAGATCTTGTCCTCTTCCCCTGTTCTCATGACTGAAACCAACAAGCCTGTGCCTGCTCTTTCACTTTGAGACTACCCCCTCCTGTATTATGTTGACATCCTCAGCAGTGTGTTTTAGTCACTGAGGAGGAAATGGAGAGAGATTCTAGGTTCAAGAAGACTATACAGTTTGCTAAGACACTTCTTGACAGATTCAAGTTTTTCCTAGGTTGGAAGCGAGTACATGAGCGGGGTGAGAGTGAGTTTAAGGAATATGGAGACAGGAGTTGGGAATCTTGTCATACCTACTCCCCTTCTCAGGCCTGAAGCACATGAACTTAGAATGTCCCTTAAACTCTCCCCATCCAGCATAGGAATGCCAAGTACCTCATGAACCAGCGTCTTCCCAAGTCTGAGGGTTCTCCCTACCCCATTCATTAAGATTTTCACAGATATGCTCACCCCACCCCTTCCAGCTCCACTCAAATCTAGTGTCTGCAATGCTGAGTAGCATGTGTACATTCTCCTAGAGTCATGAATCCTGGCAACACTCTCCAAAGAATCCCAGATAGAAAAGGCTCACCTGAAAATCTGATCTAGTTAGTGATGCTGGAGAAGGAACATTCAACTGCACCCTGGGCAGGGTTAGGCAGTCACTCAGCCACTTCTTCAGTGGCTTCCCAGAAGTGGAGAGAAGACTTCTGGGTGCTCCTGGAACAAGTGGCAGTGCAGTAGGGTGCCATACTGGGGCTCTGAGTGGCTCCGCCTCTTGCTGAGGGCTTGGTCTGTGCGAGCCAAGCTCAGCTGATATTTTCATTCATTTTTTCTTTGCTCTGAATGGACAAAGCACTTCAGGGACACACGATGACTGGGGACACATCTTGGGCATTAGGAGGGGAGATGGTGTAGATCTCAACCTGAATAAATGTCGCTGAGAGGCTGAAGCCTGGGTTCCTCTTTCTTGTGACTAGGATTGCCTGAAGTCTCAAATGAAGTTCTACCCAGAGTTGAGGACTCCTGTTAGGTGAGAAAGTTCAGGGCGCCTGCTCGGTGCTCTTCTCTTAACCGTTCTCTCCATTTCCAGTGCCAGGTCTCCAGCAGAGACACAAGGTTGAGTGGCTTGGCTGAGACCAAGAGTGATGCCTCACTGTGGTGTTCTGCTGGTTAGCATCTTGCCCCAGTTGGGAGCCTCAACTTTTACAAAAGAAAGAATTATTGAGCTTCCTAATTTCTTAAGCCATTTCTTCTTCTCCCATATGGGCTGGCTCAGGTCTGCATGTCACAGAGGCTGTTGGGAGTGTGGCTTCTGGCAAGAGCACCCTCGTCCCTAGAAAGCAGCAGGACTTGGAGCCTGTTCTGGATGATATTTCACCTGCTGTGAGAACTTCTTCAAATCACTCTATGCCTCTGGGCCCCTTTTCCAACTTCTGTGATTTACAGACACCTTTTTCTGTCCCCTCCTTTCCTTGTAAGTGTGTTGGGAAGATCCAGAAGATAATGAGCAGAAAATGCCTTGAAAGGAATTAACATATAATGGCATGTATTTTGATCATATAAAAGCAGTATTTTCTTGAAAACAAAATAAAAAGAAAGGGATGATTAGGAATATTGTGCAATACCCTGACGTGATACAGGGTCTGGTCGGAGGTCAGGAGATTTCCTTTCTTGTTCGTTATTTTTACTATGTGTCATAAATAAAGCATTGAATAAAAAAGCTAACACCAATAAAGGAATGGGCTCTATTATTATGTGGGAGGAATAGGGGATCATGTCGGCATTAAGACTGGATCCAATCAAGCACTTCCTGCATATGATTATTGTATTTTGGGGGTCTCCTTTATCTGTGCAGGAGCCAGGAGATTTTAATGAGATCAAGTTGTAGTAGTAATAAGACTAATGTGTGTTTGATGTGAGGGACACATTTTTCCGCTCTTGCTCGTTTTTCTTCACAGCATTTCAATGAGGAAGGGAGACAAAGGGGAGGATATGGGGAAAACTCTCTAGAGAAGGAAGAGAGAGAGAGAGAGAGAGAGAGGGAGGGGCTGTCTAGCAGTTGTCCACACGTGGCCCTGAAGGGAGTGCAGACAGTCTGTAATCTCAGTAGCTGAAAGTCTTGGTCTTTTCTCTGCCCAAACAAAAGAGCTAAACAGCTCCCCAGTCATTTGCCGCTGCTCCATAGGCTAAAAGACTGCCAAAGATGAAGATTGGTCTCTTCCTGCCAAGGGCCTGTAATGTATGTGGTGAGGGGCATCTGAAGGACTCAGCCAGTCCCACCTTTGCACATATCTATAAAGGACGTTGCATGCATTCATTCATGTGTGCATTTATTTAACAAATGTTTACTGGGCACCTACAATATGCCAGATGCTGTTCCAGGCATTGAGTGTCCAGGAGTGAACAAAACAGATGAGATCTCTGTTCTCCTGAAGCTGTCCTAGTGGAGACACAAAAATAGACAAGTAAACTAGTGGATAAACAGGGTGATTTCAAATGGTGTTGAGTGCCATGATGAAAGTAAAGAGGAAAATGAAAGTAAAATAGGAAAGAATGGAGGGCTTGGAGAGGATGCAGCTATATTAGATAGAGTGATCAGGAACAGCCTTCCTAGGAATGTGTCATCTGAGCTGACACCTAAATGATGAGGAGTCAGCGATGCATGGGTCTAGGGGAAAAGCATTCCAGGTGGAGGAAACAGCAGATTCAAAGCCCTAAATGTGAACAAGCTTAGCACGTTTGAGAAACAGAAGAGAGGACAGGAGGCGGGAGGGGGATGGAATGTGAACAAATGCTTTGAGAGCCAACTTGGCTCCATGCTGGAAAGCTGGCTGGGTAGCCATTCACCTCCTCTCAGCCTTTCATTCAGGTTGGATAGGGGTCAAAGATCCATGAGAGCATGACACAAGAGCCCAGCCACCAACCCTTCACTCCATTTCTGGTTGAAGCTGCACTAGTTCTCTTCGAGGAACAGTGTACCATGGCAGGCAAGCTGAGGTCTCCGAAGCCAGATGGCCCCAGTTTGAGGCCTGAACAAGTAGCACAGACTCTCTGTACCCCAGGTTCTTCATTTGTAAAACCAGGATAATAATGACAGCCCCCAATTCATAAGGTCATTCTGAGAATCAGATCTGTCAACATGGTTAGAGCAATGCTCTCATGGTGTTTTGTTTTTATCTCAGAGGCAAGAGAGTGCTCCCCCTGCCTCATTTAAAAGGAAAAATGTGCCTGGCTCCTGAGCTGGCAAGAAGACTGCTGTGGTTGTCGTCTGGCTGTGGTAGTAGATTGCTTCTTGTGCTCTCACAATGCTCTAGGCACAGAGTGCTGCTCCTTTGTTTCCATCATAAAAAGTCTTCATTATGTGCCTACTTATGCCTGCTGCTCTGCTGAGCAGGGTCTGGAGACACAGGGCAGACATGGCCCTGCCCTCTGGGAGTTCCACAATCTAACCCAGACATCACAGAGGCTGACAGAGATCAAGAACACACAGTGAGTCGCAGGTGAATTACAGTAATATCGGGTACAAGAAAGAGATGCATGCTTAAAAGTGGCTAGTGTGTGGGATGCCTATTCAGTGAGACAAGTGGAGGAATTTGCTACCTTTTCTCCAATTAGTCAGAGAAGGCTTTTCTGTTCCTGCTGAAGACCAAATGAGAAGAAATGGACTTAGGTTGAGTTTACAGTTGGAAGCATAAGAGATGTGAGACATGCAGATACCTCTACAAAGAGGTGATAATGTCGCCTAGGCTGGTTCAGCTGTGGAGCACCTGGAGGTGGGTACAAAGATGAAATCCACTGTGACAGCAGTTGTGGGGGCATCTGTTTTGGACCCAATGGAAGGCAGGAAATGAGTCTGGAAGAGATTAACAGGCTTGGTCTGCCTCCCTTATTCTTCCTGGTTTCGCTTCCCTGGAGCTCCACATTCACAAGGGGCAAGAGTAGTGTGGAGTATTTTAGTCAGTGTTTTGGGTTCTTGGGGAGCAAGAGAAGGGCTTTGCAGGGCTCAGGGGAATCTGGAGACCCCAAGATGCAATGAGAACCCTGGAAATGGAGATCAAGTACAGCATTTTAGGAGAGACCCAAATGGTGCATTATTTTTCTTAGCACCATGGTTCAGTTGTATAATTCTTTGTGTGGTTATTTGATTAATATCTGTCTCCACAGAGAATAGAGCCATCCCTAACATTTCTGGACCCTAAGGCAGGAGTATAGATGGAGGCTCACATACCATAGGCCAAAATATTTAAAAGTAATAAATCCAGGTCACAAACTGTTAAACAAAAGGCATTTTATCCTCTTATCCCGGCAAATATACCTTCAAAACAATCTGGAAGACAGGTTTGAATTTAGAACTGTTAGATTCCTCTGAATTCTGTGCTAGCCAAATGGGGATATTTGGCCCTTGGTCTACAGGCCACTCTGATTCTCTTTCTGCTGCTGGCTCCATCCTGCATCATCATGAACCTTGGACACACATGTGTGGACATTCCAGCTGGCTTATCCAAGATTTCTTTATACCACCCCCAAATAGCTGCCCCTTGTCCCTCTCCCTTTGGGCCTGAAGAAGAGAACAGTGAAGGTTCTAG